GAGAGAGAGAGAGAGAGAGAGAGAGAGAGAGAGAGAGAGAGAGAGAGAGAGAGAGGAGAGTTGTGTCTCGCTCCCCTGGCAAGGACACATCTATCTATGGACTGATCTATCATCTATTGTGGTTGTTTTGTTTGTTTTTCCGAGACAGTTCCCGCTGTTTCCCAGGCTGTAATTGCTGACTACAGGTGTAAACTCTAGCTAATACACAGTGCTTTGCTGAGCCTCTGTAGACCGAGTTGGAAGACTGCAGTAGGATGCACATACCTGAGGGCCAAGGAGAGCGAGCACAACTGCCCACTGTGGTCACCCATGCCCTTCCTTGGAAGTAGAGTTGGCAAACGTGGAGATGCACTGGAATGTAGCAGAGAGGACAGCAAACCCAGAGGAGAAGCCGGAAGCAAGCAGCAGGGCTCTGCCTGCTCTCCAGGATAAGCAGGTGGCCTCCTGCCGTACTGGGGAAAAGCTGTGAAGTCAGATATTAGACAAAGATAGCCAAACTAGAAACCAGCAAACCAAAGAAGCATGAGTTAGCCAACAGCATGGTTATGTTCAATGACCAGGTCCATAGCTTACAACCATTCACACCCCAAGATACCTATGATGGATTTCTCCATGGTGCAGAGAGCATGCCCCGGCCCCTCTGTGGGCTTGAACAAGACACACTGTTGAAAACAAGCCAGGACCACAAACTCTGAAGGGAAAATAGCACATGTGTGTTTTATTTGTTTGTCTGTTTGTTTGTTTTTGAAAAGACATTTGGCATCTATTCATGGGGAATGGAATTAGATTTAATTAAACGAGAGAACCCCCAACTCCATCTGGTTCCCCCGTCACTGGGGAGGGGTTTGGAGAGAGCTAGGGTTTGTCTATTGGTGTACAAGAATTTCTCCTTTAAGAATCAAATATAAAATTCAAACTGCCCCTTACTTGGGAAGTTGTAAGGTAAACACTGCGGCCTTTCTGATCGTTTAGACTCCTGGGTCGCCTCTGCAATCGAGGCATCACCTTTCCCTGACTTCTTCGAGATGTGCTACTGTTCTGTTCTGTGTTTCTCTCTCTTCCAGCGACAGTGAGTCCTAATCTGAGCGGTGTTGGTGTTCTCCAAGAGCACACTCCCTGGGGGCGCCTGCTGGGCCTGCCACGGGAAGATGAAGAGGAGACAAGTTCCATTCGTTTCAAATCAGCGTAGACACGAGACCCTTTTACTGTTTCTTCCACCACCCCTCTTCAGATGATGACATCCCAGGGACTAGTCCTAGGAAAGGCCTGGCTGCCTGCCAGAGTAACAGTCTGCGAGGAACTCAGGGTGCAGAAGGAGGACTTCTGATCAGTGGGCGTCCCCTCCTCACTCATTCTAATCACCTTTAAGTCATCATCACTGGTCTGCTTCACTTCTAAGGATTTGATTAAGGAAGCTGGTCTTCTTCCGGGTCACCGTACTACCTCCCGGCTTTGGATGACATCGTCTCGTTATTTATGTCCTCTGACAGGTCAACTCTCTTCTTCTGGGACTTTTCTCATGTCATGCCACGTCACAGAGAAGACACCGAACAAAGCAAGTGTTTCGTATCCACACTATCTCAGGGGGTATCAGGTTGAGGTTGTTTCTCACCTGCTAAGGAAATACAGCAAGGAAGGGCACAGCCCTCACGGGAGACCCTTGAGTGGCTCATAGACTTGCACCCAGCCACACTCAGCCACATCTCAGTCACCTTTGAAAACTGGGTAGAAGAAATAGCCATCTTTAAAGGGAGAAGCAACATTTTCCCTCTCCACCAAGATCACCTTGCAACATCTCAAAGCTGTGGTTTTGATCTTGTCTCATCCCACAGGCCTGTCCTGTACGGGCACGCGGCATGGAATGCATGCAGGCTGAGATCATCGTGGAGATTCTCAAGGGTGAACAAGATAGATCTGTACCTGTGGCAGCTGCGGCTCGCTGTGCTCTGCACGCTACGGCCCTTCCTGTAGAGCTGGGAAGAGTCCCCAGCCCTCACACAACACTCTGGGAGGTGGCTATCAGGCCATGAGAGAAGACATTCTACATGAGATTCCTGGACATCCTTGTGTTAAAAACGCTGGAACAAAATGCAGAAGGGCTCACTAATATCTTCTCCTCCATCAAGCCAGTCCCAGTTAATCCTTAGCTTTCTAGCTCTGACCTTTGAAAAGTCATCTAACAAATTGAGTCCTTAGCTCTCCTGGGATGCTTGGTATTTTATTCCAGGAAAGAAACAAAGAATGAGAATTTTATTCTGCTAACCACGTATAAACCGAGGGGAGATGAAGCTAACTGAACTTTTTGCTGCTGAATTTGGAGTCTGTGTTTGAAAGGCTACCTTCATGCTCCACAGGGTGCCTTCTGCCTCCTTGAGGCCCCTTCATCGAGCTCTTGCCTTCTGAGCTATGCAGATAATTTTATAGGCAGAACTGCAGGCTAGGGTGAAAGACAACTCTGGTTGCATGGGATCCTGGCTCTTCCGCTGTCCTGGGACTTTGCTCCGACAAAGGACAGTGTTTGACAGTGCATCCTCAACAGATTGGTCTGTCATGCCCTCAGCGTTCTGACGTGGCTCTGTCCCTGCCCCTGGACATTCACAATCAATTTGTAACCTGCCCCGATTCTCAGACATTCACCCAGCAAATGCTGCTGTCCGAGCCATCATTGTTTTTCCTTTCTTCTGCCCACGACTGTTCCCTGAAATTTGCTTGTCTTTCTATGAAAAGTCTAGTTCCCTCTTTCTTGGGCTGTCTAAGATCTTCACTGACTACCCAGGCCTTTGACCTTGATCTAATCCTGTCCAATATCAAACTTCAGAAGTCCTCAGAAGTGCCCGAGGTCTTGGACTGTTACTCTGGATAAAGCAGTGTTTTGTGAGATGATAATGAAATTCTCATCCAATCTGCTAAATAACCTCAAACTCCCAAAGAAACCAATTGACCTGCAAGACGTTGGGTTTACATCTGAGAACTGTGTTGGATTCTCTAGCTGCACAGTGCACAGGAACTTCCTATAAAGCTACTTTGCTCTGGCAAGACTCATGATATTAGCATGGGTCAAGCGGTCAAGTTAACCCTAGGATCCTGAATCTTTATTATTAAACAGTCAGAGCACAGCATATGTATATGACAATTCCAAGAATTCTTTTTTTAAAAACTTATTTACCTATGTATACAACTGCTCCATTTGCTTGTGTGCCTGCACAACAGAAGAGGGCATCAGGTCTCATTGTGGATGACTGTGGGCCACTACATGGTTGCTGGGAATTGAACTCAGGACCTCAGGAAGGATAGTCAGTGCCCTTACCCACTCCCTTCAGCCCTCCAAGAATTCTTTAAAAAAATTATCTTTTACATTATTAATAGAAAAAAACCTCATCAGTTTGTTCGAGCTGGATAGCCAATCAGAACAAATCAGATTTTAAAATAAAGATGGGCAGGGAATATATCCCAGTTGGGAGTTGTTTGCCTCACACACACAGAGTCCTGGGTTCAGTTCTTAGCATAAACTCGGCTGGCTGCAGGAAGGTCATTCCTACAAGTTCAAGGTCATTCTCTGCCACAGAGGGAGTTTGTGGTCAGCCTGGACTGTGTCAGACCTTACTCAAAAGAAACCCAAAAACCAAAAACAAAGAACCATTTTAAAGTCACATGCTTTGGTGCGTTTCTTTTTAAAGCAAAGTAGGTTGATAACATTGCCTGGGAGAATTTCTTTGGAAACTCGTTTCAATAAATATGTAAAAATTTCCATTTGTGACTTTTTTTTAAAAAAAAATAAGAGTATTGAATTTGTTCTTTGACAGGTTCCTATATGAAGAAGTGCATTCTGATTACTGTGACCCTCACCCTCTCTAGTACTTTCCCACCCCATCCCTCTCCCCAAGTCTCCTGCCCACACTTGCTGTTTTGTTTGTTTTGAGACACCTTGAGTTTAACCAGGATTGTCTGTGGGACCTGGGGTTTGGAACAAGTGGGTTCTTAAGTGAGCATATAATTAAAAACAATGACTGTCCCCAAGGATTCCTGGGTAGTCAATAGTTCTTCAGTCTCTGATTGCCTGTTAATTGACTGTCTTGTGTAGGCAGTCATAGGCACCGTGAGGTCATGGCTGCACTGCTGTGCCAAGTGAAAAAAGAAAGGATTTCACAACCCTCTCCCCATCTTCTGGCTCTAACAGTTTTTCTGCCCCCTCTCCCGCAAGAATTCTTTCCTCTACAGGCAAAGGGGGCAGTGTCTGACCTGGAGCATCTGCAGAAACACACGGTACTCCTAGCCTTAACCAGAGAGGCTTCTCTCAGCAGTGGCTGGCACTGAATGCAGAGACCCACATCTGTTCACGGCACTAAGGATAAGTGGCAGCTGAGTGCTCCACCCTACACAGGCCATCTGCAGCTCTCAGTGCCGTGACTCCTCTCCAGGACGGGCATTACTACCCACATACATGGACACAGTCCAGATCAACCTTGGCCTCCATGGGTGACATGCATTCCTCTCTCCAGGACGGGCATTTCTACCCACATGCATGGACACAGTCCGGATCAACGTTGGCCTCCACGGGCGGCATGCACTTTCCTTGACTTGCAGAGCTCTGGCAGTGGGAATAATACCAATATAACTGGGAAAGTTAAACAAAAAACTTTCAGTGTGATCTTGCAATTGGGTTATAAAAAACAACAATTGGCACCATCTCTGGAAAAAGGCCTTATGTTGAGTAAACAAAATGTGGGTGCTAGTTTCATCTTCTGTGAGAATTAGTGCAAACTCTAAGCTTTGTGGTGATAAGACACGGTTTCCCACTGGGAAGACAATGCTGAAGTCATGTTGTGGGGAAAACATTGACATTTTATACTGAATTCAATTAGCACACATGACTTTTCACATTCTGAAGACACTTAGGGAGCATGCTGGAGTTTTCTTTTAATAGCTACAATAAGCAGCTAGGAGCAGCTCCCCTTACAGACACTGCTACATCTGCAACGGCCAGAGGAATGCCTGTAGCTTCCTGAGGACCGGCATCAGTCTAACCTGCCAGCAACTGCAAAACCCAGCCCACCAGCTGCCCGAGTCATTGGTCTTTTCAGGTTCTCCTTGACGTTGCCGTGGCTCTGTATTATCTGATGCTGAAATCTGACTTCCCTCCTCATGCTTACTGCTTCTAGGTTCCTGGTGCTTCATTTCAGGACACTGTTAATCCTGTTACCTTTTCTCAACAACATGCTGTTCTCGGGACGTAGCAATCACTATGTACAAAATCAGGACCTCTGTAATACTCTAAACTCTGAAGTAGGATGAGAAATTAAACACCTAAACCAAAGTACTTGATATTGCCTGAGATCAAAAGGACAACTTAGAACTGTTAAACACAGCCGAAGGTGAAGGGTGTTTGTTTCTTTATGATTGAACTTGGATTGGCAAGTAGACGCAGGAGGGCTCGCCCTTCTCAGCCCATCTCACTGTTTTCCTTGGCCTTTGATGCTTTATAAGTGGATATGTGAATGCCACCAGAGCACATTCTTCCGTTTTCCTCCTTGGGTTTGCATGTGAAGAATGGATGACGTGCAACTACCACGAAATAAGCATCTGTTTCAGTGGAAAGTAATCATTGTGTTATTCTCAGAAGAAATCGCAGAAATTCTAAAATAGTATCAGAAGCCCGAAGACTGAATGATTAAAAGGCTGGCTTTTGGAATCACGGGGATTGTAGGCATTCAGTAATAATAATAATACACTATATCAGTGGTAATTTAACCCATAAGTGCATATCCATGTACATCTCGGACTTATGGTTCACTAGAAAGGGCTGTGTTCAGCTCCTTCATTTTACAAGCAGCTAAACTGGTTCTTTAGGAGGTCAGTTAGGTCAGATGGCCGTAAGTTAGAGAAGAGCCTCACCTGCCTCTGTCCTAGCGATGTACATATTCTAGGCTGTAGCCCCTTACATAAGAACTATCCAGTGCCAGTGGGGTGGCTGGGAGGAGGGTCAAAGCCCTTGACACCAGCTCTGACCATCTGAGTCCTGAAAATTGTTCTCTGACCTCCACATGTGTACCGTGGTGCTTGCACACACACACATGCACACATGCACGTAAATAAGAAAGACTTTTGTTTAAAGGATTGCCCACTTAGAGATGTGGGTCAGTGGCAGAGCACTTGCCAGGCGTGAGCACAGCCAGAGGATCCACCCCAGCACTGCAGGAAAATGGCAGCAAGGAGAGGAAAATTGCCCCATGGCTACTGATTAGAACTGATTTGTAAATTCATCAACGTTTTAAGATGAATTGAAATTAGGTCTTGTCTTGTCTTACATGTCAGAATGATACATTGTAACACTTTTTATGATAGAGGCTTTATCAGTGTTGGTATAAGTGTGTGTGTGTGTCATTCTCTTCTCACGTTCATTTTTAAAACTTTATTTTTTAGTTGATTCTGATTTTATGGGCATGAGGGTCTTGCCTACACGTTTGTCTGTGCACCAGGAGTGAGGTGCCCACAGACGCCAGAAGCAGACATGAGGTCTTCTAACACCAGAATCACAGACAGAGTTGAAAGCTCCCATGTAGGTTCTGGGAATCAAACCTGGATCCACTTGAAAGGCACCCAGCATTCTTAAGCCCTGAGCCATCACTCCAGCCACCTTTGGGGACATTTAATGCTTTTTATTTAAAGTAAATAAGAGCACATGGATTAGTATGCTAAGTTGCTCACTCAGCAGTGATAGGTTGAAAAGGATTTCTAAATTAATTTAAAAATGAAGAACTGTGAAATAGGAGAAGGGATGCTTGTCATGGCTTTGCTTCCACACCCGCTGATGGGTATCAATATACGGGCTAACACTGTGTTTACAAAATGTGCTGCTTGCAAGAGGTAAAGGGCTCATTGTGCATCTTGCTAAGGAAAATTCATACAATCCTGTGGCTGTAAATGAAACGGTTACCCTCAGGATCGCACTGCTTTTGTCCACGCACCTCTTTAATAAATGAGACAAGCTGTTTATTTGAGATTTTCACACATGCGTACACTATATTGAGATTTCCAGCCTTCCCTTTCTCCCCCTTTTCTTTTTTTTGTTCTTTTTTAAATTTATTTATTTATTAAAGATTTCTGCCTCCTCCCCGCCACTGCCTCCCATTTCCCCCCTCC